GCAGAGCCGGGAGCGCAGATCCCAGCTGGCTGCAGTGGACAAAGGGGACCCAGGGGTCAAGCCCGGGGCCGGGACCAGGCAGGGAGTTCGCCTGTGGCACCTGGAACGGGTTCTGCTACTGATTCGCCATCCCAGCCTCGGGCAAGCTGCGAGCTGGAGAATGTCCTCCCCCTCACAAGCCAAGACACCGACCTCAGCGGGGCAGAGACATGCCCGAGGTCAGGGACCTGGCAGCAGGGTGGGACCAGCACCCAGGCATCCTGGCTGCTGGGCTCTGGGCCAGGCCCTGCTGGTCAGCGTGAGAGCACCCAGGGTGCGGGGTGTGGCTGGCATGTCAGAAGGGGGGGCTCCGCATGGGGAAGGGACAGAGGGGCCAAGTGCTGAATTTGTCATTTTCCTCCCTGAGTCCCGGCCACGTTTGTGCCTGCTGCCCAGCCCCCTGGCTGGATCCTGCCCGCTGCCCCAGCCGGACATCAGCTGTGCTGCTGGGACCTGCCTGCTGCCTTGCACCAGGTGAGAACCCAGCGGGGCCCCGAGGGCAGGGCCGTGTCCCCCGCCCTCCCCCCGGCACTGGGCTGCTGGCCTGCTGGCCTGGGGGAGTCATGTGGAGAGCAGCACATGGGTTACCCCTTTAAACCAGGAAAGCTGCCAACAGGCTTTTAACTCCCTTACTACACCTTGCATTAGGTTTTAAGAGGGGCCTTAAATAACATGCCTTTACAGCCCCAGTCGCTCCGTGATCCATCTGCTTCCGGTGCCGTGATTTATGGCCTCTTTTGTGTTGTGCATGCTGGTTACGTGTTCCAGCCACTTCCCCGCTAACGTGGGCCTCCAGCCAGGCAGGTGGGGAGCCTGGACTCCACTAGACGCCTTCTGGCACAGGGCCTCGGCTATGCCCCGGGCGCAGCCTGCAGCCCCCTCAGGCGGGGCCATGCTCTCGCCGCAGGCAGGCAGCTGTCAGCACGGCCCCCTCAGCAGGCCACTGGCCCAGCTCCTTGCCACCTGCACTTGGCAGGAGCCACAGGTCTCTTCTGGCAAGGGCCAGCTGGGGCGATTTCTCTCCCCCCAGGCACGGCCACCAGCAGGGCCCCTGGCACCCCATCTCCCCAGCGGGTTGGCCTGCGTCAACTCCAGACTCGGCTTTTCTCAACGCATCCTGCAAATGATGGGGAACACGTCACCGCCCCGATCCAGCCCCACACCCTGGGCCCTGCCCTGCCATGCAGGGACAGTCTGAGGGCAGCTCCGCAGCAGCTGGAGCCAGGGAGGCAGCCAGTAACGCCCTGTATGGCTCTGGGGAGTGGGAGCCGGGGGCGTGGGTGGGAGCGACGGGGGAGTGTGGCACACTGCTGGAGAGCTTCCTTTCTGCAGGGGGTCTAGTCCCCAGAGCTGGGCTGGGACGCAGGTTCCTGCCAGCCTCCAGCCCCATGCCCAGGCTTCTCACCTACAGTGCCTCCTCCCTACATATTCCGCTGCCCTTTGCCTCTTGGAACTGGGCATCTGTCATTCCTGGGGCAGCCGCTGCTCCTGGCAGGGTCACATTGACCTCTGCACCAGTGCTGCCCCAGGAAAGGGCTGTCACGCTGGGCAGGCCAGACCCTGCAAGTCCTGTCTTCTGCTGAGCAATCCAGGCGTGGGCTCAGAACGGCCAGGGGCCCCAGGGACAGGAGGGGCATGGAACAGGGGCTGAATGCCATGAGGGTCGATCTGTTCAGCTGGGGGTGTCTCCTTGGGGGAGGGTGCAGGCCCCCAATCTATCCTGCCTGGATCCAGAGAATAGCAGGGCACGCTCATAACCTGGGAGAGGGACCCTCCTCTGGCATGGGGACTGTGGAGCTCTGCTCCTGACCCCAGCTCCGCGAGCTTCGACTCCCTCAGGGAACGGATGGCCAGGATCCCCTGGGGGACTAACTTGAAGGGGAAAGGAGTCCAGGAGAGCTGGCTGTATTTCAAGGAATCCCTGTTGAGGTTACAGGGACAAACCATCCCAATGAGTCGAAAGAATAGTAAATATGGCAGGCGACCAGCTTGGCTTAATGGTGAAATCTTAGCGGATCTTAAACATAAAAAAGAAGCTTACAAGAAGTGGAAGGTTGGATATATGACCAGGGAAGAGTATAAAAATATTGCTCGGGCATGGAGGAATGTTATCAGGAGGGCCAAATCGCACCTGGAGCTGCAGCTAGCCAGAGATGTCAAGAGTAACAAGAAGGGTTTCTTCAGGTATGTTGGCAACAAGAAGAAAGCCAAGGAATGTGTGGGCCCCTTACTGAATGAGGGAGGCAAACTAGTGACAGAGGATGTGGAAAAAGCTAATGTACTCAATGCTTTTTTTGCCTCTGTTTTCACTAACAAGGTCAGCTCCCAGACTGCTACGCTGGGCATCACAAAATGGGGAAGAGATGGACAGCCCTCTGTGGAGATAGAGGTGGTTAGGGACTATTTAGAAAAGCTGGACGTGCACAAGTCCATGGGGCCGGACGAGTTGCATCCGAGAGTGCTGAAGGAACTGGCGGCTGTGATTGCAGAGCCATTGGCCATTATCTTTGAAAACTCGTGGCGAACCGGGGAAGTCCCGGATGACTGGAAAAAGGCTAATGTAGTGCCAATCTTTAAAAAAGGGAAGAAGGAGGATCCTGGGAACTACAGGCCAGTCAGCCTCACTTCAGTCCCTGGAAAAATCATGGAGCAGGTCCTCAAAGAATCAATCCTGAAGCACTTGCATGAGAGGAAAGTGATCAGGAACAGCCAGCATGGATTCACCAAGGGAAGGTCATGCCTGACTAATCTAATCGCCTTCTATGATGAGATTACTGGTTCTGTGGATGAAGGGAAAGCAGTGGATGTATTGTTTCTTGACTTTAGCAAAGCTTTTGACACGGTCTCCCACAGTATTCTTGTCAGCAAGTTAAGGAAGTATGGGCTGGATGAATGCACTACAAGGTGGGTAGAAAGCTGGCGAGATTGTCGGGCTCAACGGGTAGTGATCAATGGCTCCATGTCTAGTTGGCAGCCGGTATCAAGTGGAGTGCCCCAAGGGTCGGTCCTGGGGCCGGTTTTGTTCAATATCTTCATAAATGATCTGGAGGATGGTGTGGATTGCACTCTCAGCAAATTTGCGGATGATACTAAACTGGGAGGAGTGGTAGATACGCTGGAGGGGAGGGATAGGATACAGAAGGACCTAGACAAATTGGAGGATTGGGCCAAAAGAAATCTGATGAGGTTCAATAAGGATAAGTGCAGGGTCCTGCACTTAGGACGGAAGAACCCAATGCACAGCTACAGACTAGGGACCGAATGGCTAGGCAGCAGTTCTGCGGAAAAGGACCTAGGGGTGACAGTGGACGAGAAGCTGGATATGAGTCAGCAGTGTGCCCTTGTTGCCAAGAAGGCCAATGGCATTTTGGGATGTATAAGTAGGGGCATAGCGAGCAGATCGAGGGACGTGATCGTTCCCCTCTATTCGACATTGGTGAGGCCTCATCTGGAGTACTGTGTCCAGTTTTGGGCCCCACACTTCAAGAAGGATGTGGATAAATTGGAGAGAGTCCAGCGAAGGGCAACAAAAATGATTAGGGGTCTGGAACACATGAGTTATGAGGAGAGGCTGAGGGAGCTGGGATTGTTTAGCCTGCAGAAGAGAAGAATGAGGGGGGATTTGATAGCTGCTTTCAACTACCTGAAAGGGGGTTCCAAAGAGGATGGCTCTAGACTGTTCTCAATGGTAGCAGATGACAGAACGAGGAGTAATGGTCTCAAGCTGCAGTGGGGGAGGTTTAGATTGGATATTAGGAAAAACTTTTTCACTAAGAGGGTGGTGAAACACTGGAATGCGTTACCTAGGGAGGTGGTAGAATCTCCTTCCTTAGAGGTTTTTAAGGTCAGGCTTGACAAAGCCCTGGCTGGGATGATTTAACTGGGAATTGGTCCTGCTTCGAGCAGGGGGTTGGACTAGATGACCTTCTGGGGTCCCTTCCAACCCTTATATTCTATGATTCTATGATTCAGGTCTGCCAATGGGCTGTGCAGACGCCCAAGGAGAGATTGAAGGAGACCCTAGCGCCAGGAGTGGGCTGCGGCGCTCGCACACTGTGAGGATAATTATCGTTTAAATACCAGCTTTTTGTCAATGGTGTGGTGGAGAATAATTGAGCATAATTGTTCCCATTGTAACAGCAACTGCAGAGTGAGGAGGAGAGGAGCAATAACCACAGAAATGTCAACCTGTCAGCCGTAAATACACCAACTCCTTCTGAAGGTTGGCTCCACGGGGGGGCCCTCGGCCCAGCTGGGGGGGCAGTGCAGAGAGCCAAGCACCTGGCATGCACGCATGCCAGTATCAGCATACATGTCTGCATGTGTTTACCTGCATGGCAGTACACCGTGCACACGCACAGGGGTGAGCGAGCACGTGTAGGCCAACTGGTGTATGTGCACGGGGGTGGGTACACACAGGTGGGGGGTGCACGTGCGGGGCCATGAGGCAGGTGTCAGGCATGGGGGGGTGCACTGAGAGTGGTGGGGTGAGCCGCTTACTCATCCTCTCTGCATGCTGAACCCCCTCTCCGCCATCCCTGCCAACCTCCTGCCTCACCCCTCCTCGGTGCATGCCAGGCCCCTGCCCCCATTCAGCTCAGTTAAAGCCCCTCATACGCAGCAAGGCCGTAAGCGCAGACTGGGAGCGCAAAGGCCTATTCCCATGGGGGTGGAGGAATCAACAGCTGTGAGCAGTGCACCGCACTGGGGCCAGCTCTGTCCATGGGGTGCTGCCCCGCCACGGCCCGGAGCGGCACCCCCTACACCAGTGGTTCTCAACCAGGAGATGCGTACCCGGGGGGGTACACAGAGGGGTACGTCAACTCATCTTGATATTTACCTATTTTTACAACAGCCTCCATGAAAAGCACTAGGGAAGTCAGAACAAACTAAAATTTCATCGGGACACTGCCTGGTTCATACTGCTCTACTCACCGTACACTGAAATGTACGTACAATGGTCATATTCCAGTCGCTTTATTTTAGAACGATATGGTACAATGAGAAAGTCAGCCATTGTTCAGTACTAGTGCGCTGGGACCCTCTGGGATTTCTATGTCTGACTTTGCAAGCAAGTCGCTTTTCTGTGAGGTGAAACTCGGGGTACGCAAGACAGATCAGCCCCCTGAAGGGTACAGGAGTCGTCGGGAAAGGGTGAGAGCTGCCGCTCCACCCCACTCTCTGTACGCGCCCATGAATGCTCTGCTCCCGGCTGTGCTGGGCACCGTCTCTCTGCCCCTGCCAATGACCCTGCGGGGCCGAGGCAGGGAGGGGCGGAGGGCTGCGGGTTGCCCCGTGGCACAGCCCCCTGGGCTGGGCCCTGCTGTGTGCTGGGCGGAGGAGGCCAGCCCTGGCTGTGTGTGCTGGGGGAGGCAGATGCTCCCCACGACAGGGCCTTACAGCCTCTCCTGCTCCGAGATGCGGCTCTCCTTGCCGTCCTCCTGCGCCACGGGCTGGCGCCCCAGCAGGGTCTCCTGCACCGGGAAGTCCTGGCGCTCGTCGTGCTCCTCGCACCCCGCCGTGGCTGGCTGCTGGGGCGGTGCCTGCAACACAAGCTCCACGGGATCCGGCAGCTCCAGGCCCTGCCAGGCAGCGGGAAGGTGAGGTGAGCAGAGGAGGGGGTCCCGTGTGGGGCCAGACCTACGCCTCTCCTCGGGCTGCTGCTGCCCCCTGCTGGGCTGCTGCGGGATAACGGGGCCTACGCCCCCCGGCACAACCCCCCTCTCCGGGGCAGACGCACGGACTCTGCCCCAGCCCCCTGGGAAGGCCCCACTGCCCTCCCCCGCACAGGGCGGTGTCCCCTCGGGGCCAGGCTTGGGACAACACCCCTTTTGCCCCCACGGGGACAGGGCCCAGGCTGGCTCCCACCCCAGGGCATCTCGCTCTCCACCTGCTCTGTCGTCCCCTCTGGCCCGTCCCTGCTCCTCCACGCCAGCGAGCAGCAGGGGGACCCCGGGGCCTGGTGCCGCCTGCCCGGGGAGCAGCAGCCGCTCGGGGCAGAGCATGTGGCCTGTCCCGGTGGGCCGGGAAGGGGAACCCCCTGCTCGGGGCCAGGTCCCTGACTGTGCTCGGCCGCCTGGCAGCTGCTTTCCGGCCCCGGGGAGCGTGGGCAGCGCTGGGTGACGTACCTGCTTCTGTGTGCACTGCTGCAGACCTAGACGGGGAATGGGGACAGAGGGGGAGAGTGAGACTCCGGCCAGGCCCAGTGTGGACACCCGGGGTGGGGAGGGGGAGAAGATGAGAGCCCCAGCCAGGCCCAGCCCAGACACCCCATGGCGGGATGGGGGGACTGCCCCGGCCAGGCCCAGCACGGCATGAACACGTGCTCACCTTGATCTGGGCTCTGCCATTGTGTCCCCTGCTGCCCAGGGTGCTACAGGCCAGAGCCGTGGCTGGGGCTTGACTCAGCCTCACAGAGCTCCCAGCCTGTGCTGGTCAGTAGGTAAAGCAGCAGGTGCCCTGCCGGGGGGAGCCAGGCCGCTGGCACTGCCATGGCAGTCTGGCATTAGCACACATGGGCCCCAGAACCATGAGGTTTATCCCCAGAACAAGCTGAACCGTGATGCCTCAAGCCTGGGCAACGGCAGGCCCCCGGTTGGCAGAATGGTGGGCTCAGCCATGAGCGGTGGAGGGCGAGCACCCTGCTGTGCCCAGGCCCTGGCCCAGCCCACGAGTGGAGGGAGACGCCCGCGCCCCCCGTGCTCACCTTTCTGATACAGGCAGAAGACAGTGAGCCCCAAGAGACAGGCTGCAGTAAAGGCCATAATGGAGATCAGCACTGGGGAACGGCCACGGCCAGGCTCTGACAAGAGAAAAGGGAGACGGCTGCTGAGCCCTGTGCTCCCAGCGTAACGCCCTCCCCCTCACACTGAGCCGCTCTCAACCACACCCCACCTACAGCACCCACTGCTGGGGAGACCCCCCACACCAACAGGAGCGGCAAGTACTGCATATCTGCATTCAAAGGGAGCCTGAAGCTCCTCGCAAACTGTATTGTGTCTGCAGGGATCAACGCGTCCACCAGTGAAATGCAGCCAACTCTGGGGAGGACCTGGCAGCTTTCTACAGCTGCACAGCACTGTGAGACAGGGACTGCAACAGCAGGGGCCGGAGGGGGCAGAATGGACGCGCCCCCCTGGCGCAACACGCTCGCCCTGGCAGAACGCACTGTGAAGCGTTAGCTGACGCACACTGCCAGGCCCTGGGTTCTGTGCCACCCACGGGCAGCAGGTGCCGCAGCGCTGCACGCCTTCGCAGGGAGAGCGCTGGGGCAGACTGGCGCACGGTTCCCCTTGCCAGAGTGCTGGCCAGACTCGAAAGCCCTGGGGTTCCCCATCCAAGAACTCACCCACCTGGGATCTGCACAGCTGTTGCACGCTGATAGCCACAGGCTGCTTGGCACTTACCACAAGCCACATCCAAGAGGTTTGTCCCAGTCGTCTTCAGCACCAGCCCCCGCGTCTCACACCTGCAGAGAGGGGCAGAGCTGGGTTCATACCCGGAGCCAGGAGGGCAGCAAAGCACCCTGCACGTGGGCACCGGGGAAACACGTCACACAAGGAGGAGAGCTGCTGCTGTGAAAGGGGCCCGGAGCTACGAGCTGGCAGTGCGCTGCAGTGCGTGGGGAGAACAGCACAGACCAGGCCCCAGGGAACTCAGTGGGCTGGACCCCAATCCCCTTCCCAGCGGTTTAAATCCAGAGCGAGCCCCTGGCTGCAACTACACTCACACCCGGTAGCCAGACCAGAGCTGAGGAGACAGATGTGGGGAGCTGCCTGCAGGAAGGGAGGGGCCCGGCTAGAAGCCTGTGCCCCCAACCACGGGATTGGGCCCTGCCCTCTGCCTGGGTAGGAGGGAAGGGAGTGTGATGCCCTCCCTCAGCATCTCCTGGCAGCCACCCGCCAGCCGGGGGTGTTTGCCCCGGCCTGCTGCTGAGACGGGAAATACCTGTGAGCTGCAATGGCTGCCCCTAGGCCTGGCCCCAGGCGCTCTCCTTTGGTCCCTGGGCCGCAGGGACACGGAGCATGATGCGCACGATGGGCCGTCTGGGAGCCCCACGGAGCACCTCGGCAAGGTGCTACTGGTACGGCCCGCGGGCTCCTGGCCTGCAGCAACGGGGTTGGCCAGGCGACGTGGGCTCATGGGTAACCCCACCTGTCCAGCAGTGCACCCAGCTCTCGGGGGCTCACTTCAACCAGGAGGTTGAGCCATTGGGAAGGGTTCAGCAAAGAGCTCGGAGACTGACTCAGGGCTGGGAAACCTGCCTCCAGGAGAGCCTGCCACAGCGTGGTGGGGTTATTAGGGCCAAGAGACGGCTGCGAGGGGACTTGGTCGCAGTCTCAGGCCCTACGTGGGGTGATGTCTGCTAGCAGACCGAGGCCAAAAGAGAGCCAGCCGGGGGAGCTGCAACGTGACAAATGCAGCCAGCAAACAGGGTGCAAATTTCAAGCAGAAAAAGTGTCATTATCCCAGGAGCGGCTTCCCAAAAGACAGGGGGACACGCAGCCCTGGACTCCTCAATGCAAGACCAGCTGTCGGGTTCCCAAAGATTCCTCCAGGGGTTATGGGGGGTGCCACGCAGGGGTCAGCTCTGCCCCTCCCCCCAGTGGTTATGGGGGGTGCCATCCAGGGGTCACCTCTGTTCCCCCCCAGTGGTTATGGGGGGGTGCCATGCGGGGGTCAGCTCTTCTCCCCCCCAGTAGTTATGGGGGGTGCCATGTGGGGGTCAGCTCTTCTCCCCCCCCAGTGGTTATGGGGGGTGCCATGCGGGGGTCAGCTCTTCTCCCCCCCCCCAGTGGTTATGGGGGGTGCCATGCGGGGGTCAGCTCTTCTCCCCCCCCCCAGTGGTTATGGGGGGTGCTATGCGGGGGTTAGACTAAGGGTCAGACTGGGTTCTTCTGGCCCTTTTGTCCCTGCTGCGCAGCTGGGGGGCGCTGGGCTGGAAGGGGCGCTCTCCGGGGCGCATGGCCAAGGGACGGCCCTTGCAGCCCGCTCCACTCACCCACGTGCTGCCCACTGCCCATTTCCAGTGGTGGCAAGAGCAGCAAAGGGGAAGAAGGCAGCTGCTGGGCCTGGCAGCCGAGATGACAGGGTGGCTGGGGTGCTCTGCTTGCCCCTGTGCCCACTCCCCCGGCCTGCGCTCACAGTCTGTGCCACCCCACCCAGGCCCTACCAGGGCTCATGTCACCTGCTGCTGCACCTATGTGGTGCACCCCCCCCATGCCACCTGCAGCAGGAGCTGAGCTGGCATGAGCAGCACGGGCTGTGTGGCAGAGAGAGAGAGGGCCGGTGTGGGCGCAGCCTCAGCTGCCTTTGAATCAGGAGTTTCGGGTCTGTACCTCGTCCAGGGGCGGCACGGCTCGGAGGCGGAGGAGGTGTTGGAGAAGCTGCCATGTTCACACGGCACGCAGGCTGTGTCTGAAAAGTTGTCGGCTGTAATGGAGCAGAGTGGGCAACGGGCAGGTCAGTGTCATGCCAGGGGAAGGCAAGGTGGTTTGCAGGTGCCAGGCAGGGCCCCTAGTTCCCAAAGCCCTCGGGCAACTGCAGCAGGGGATGGAACAGCTGAGTGATTCCAGCCTGTGCGCGTCTCCCCAGGAAGCACTGGGTGCCCCTCACTAGGGCAAGACCCTGGCACCCCTTGTAGGGGAAGCCCTGGTGGGACTCTGATCTGGGGGGCGTGATCCCTGGGCCGCGCTGGGGTGAATCAGCTCCAGCCCTGGCCCCCGGCAGGGGAGCTCTCGGCTAGCTGGAGCATCACCTCACCTTTCCGAGCGACTCCTTCGCCCGGCTTGCACTTTGTGACGTTCAAGCAGGTCTGGCAGGCGGGGCTAGAGCAGAACATGCCCTGCAGGCACTCACACACGGCATCGCGCTTGGCGTCCCCGGGGCTCCTCGTGAGAAGTCCAGCGTCTGGGCAAAGGGGATGAGACAAGGGATCAGCACTCCAGGGAGTCGGTGCCGGCAACACCTCCTGCCAAGCAGGCCATGAGCCTAGGATGGCAGGTGAGCAGGGGGCGGGTGCCAGGCTGCAAGGACCCCAGGAGCCGCTGAACATTAGCCAGGAGGCCTGGTTTCACCTCCCCCAAGAATGAACACCCCCAACGGCACCTACTCAAATCGCAGGATCTGTGGGGGGTGCAGTGTCTCTCCTTGGTCCAGCCGGACTGGAAGTGTCCCGCCTCGCACGCCCCGCAGTCAGTGTTCTTCGAGGCCGTGCAGTCAGACAGCAGCTTGTCTCCTGCAACGCAGAGCACGCAGGGGTCAGCGAAGAACAGCGCCTCCTGCTGCCAGACCCAGCATGGCCAGACCCAGCCTCTCCCAGCAGGAGGCGCTGTAGGGAAGACTGAGAACCCCGGCTGCCTCAGGGGAGCAAGGCAGAGAGTCACGTCCCAGCCCCCGGCGAGGCTGCCCGGAGTCGGGACACTGCTCCATACCTGGCCCACAGCGGCGGCAGCACCTGCCATCATGCGGATACTGCTCTGGGGTGCAGTTCACGTCGCTGCCAGACGCCCAGTGCTGGAACAGAAGAGAGCAGCGAGTTCAGCCAGGGATGGGTCCATGCTCCATGACCCCCCCCATTCTTCCTTGCCCCCTCGCTCCTGCAGGCAGCTCACTTGGCCTCTGCATCCCAGGCCCTGTGCAGAGGCTGCTCCCTGCACTCTCACCAACACCCACGTTAACCACAGACCGTGCACAGCTGGGTTCAGCTGCCTCCGCAGTGCCAGGCCTCCCTTGAAGTGGGATCCCACCGGTTCCGGTGTGGTGTGCGGGTGCAGCTCTCTCTCCTGCTTCACCTCGCAGCTAGTGAGCACGGTGCCACTCGGGTGGCAGCCTGTGCCAACAGGGCACGCCTGGGCGCCACTGACAGGAGTTCCCGCCCTGCCTGCCCCTGCCCACGGGCTGCCAGCTTCAACCCCTGCGGTGGGGGGCAGGGCACAGAGCAGACCCAACTGCCCCTTCCTCCCGTCGCCGTGGGGCCATCCTCCCAGGTCAAGGTGGGTTGAAGGGAGGAGCCTGTAGGCACTGGGGCTTGGACCTGGGGCAGCCCTGGTGCCCCAGGGGAGCCTCTTCTCCCGCTTGTGACAGTGACCCACCAAGCCCCAGCTCTGCACCAGCGAACCAAGCAGGTGCCTGGGGCGGCCAATGTAAAGGGGCAGCAGGACGGCGGGCTCTGGGGCGGCAATCCGCCCTCGGCGGCAGTGGGAATTCGGCAGCTGCTCCATCACAGCGTGCTTCGCGCACTGCGCCAATTCAGCGGCGGGGACGCGACTCTTCTTCGGTCGCCGGCAGCAATTCGGCAGCTGCACCATCACTCCGCCTCCGCGTTCGGCGGCAAGGTTTTTTGTTTTGTTTTGTTTTTGCCGCTTGGGGCGGCAAAAACGCTGGAGCCGGCCCTGCCCGGGAGTGGCCAACGGGTGCATGCTGGCAGAGCCCTGGCTGCCCCGGGGAGTTCTCTGAGAAACAGGATTTGGGCTGAAAGGGGAATCAAGAAGAAAGATTCTGACCTCCCGTGTCACTAGCAGCCTCCATGTTGGGAAGGGGAACTGAATGGGGCCCAAACCCCCAGCCTGGGCTGGGCCCCTGCTTTGCCAACCCTACAGGATTGTCCTGGAGTCTCCAGGAATTACAAATTAAACGTTAATCAGAGATTATGTCCTGTGCTGAAACCTCCAGGAATACGTCCACCAAAATTGGCAACCATAGCCCCTGCGTCTTCCCCCTCAAAATGCCTAGTTCAGGCCCATGCTGCAGGCCTGGTCCAGCCCCTCCCCACATTTGGAGAGTGGAACCCCGGAGCCTCTGCTTGGAATCTGGCAGCCCCAGCCCCAGTGTTGCGTGTTCAGCTGCCATCTATGCTGGTTCGGGAGCATCCCTGGCGTCCTTGGGGAGTGCCACGCTGCATCAGGCCGCTGTTTACTTTTGCTCCCTTGCAGGCCTGGGACTGGTGCCTGTTGCATTCCTGGACACTGTCACAGCTTGTATCCTCCCCCAGCACCTTCTTTGTTACCCAAAGCTGCCCCATCCCTCTGGCCACCTCTCCTGCCCCCTCAAACCAGCCCTGCCCCTGCTGTCCCTATGCCACAGTAACGCTCCCTAACCGGAGCCAGGGTCCCGGAGCAGCAGGAGAGCAGTAGCTGGGTGTGGGCTCAGCTCTTGCTTTGTCTCTGGTGGTTACTCCAACCCCCTATTTCAGAAAGAAAGTGAAAGTGAAGCCAGTAGCCTGGCTAGAGGGGAGCAGGGCAGCAGCCTGGCCCCAGCTCCGGCTGGGCCCTTTGGACAGGGAATAGGGACTCCAGACCCTGCCCTCCCTCCCCACTACACCCCAGTCAAAACCTGGAGCCCCAGGGGTGCCAGACAGCAGGGTGGACCGTCTGGGAGGCAGGGAAATCAAAGCAGATGAAGGGAAATTCCCAGCCACAAAAATGAGGAACCAGCAAACTGCCAGGCCAGAGCAGGAGCCTTGGTTCTCACAGATGCTGTGAGCCTAGGTTCCCTCCAGGCAAAATCCCCAAGCCCAGGATAGGGGAGAGGACAGATATGGGTGATATGCGCTCCCCTCCCCTCCCCTCGGGGCTCTCTCCCCACCCCAAGAGCAGAGCCTGTAAACACCACTGGAGGCCCCCCCCCGCAGCTGGGTATATTCTGCCAGCCCTGGCAGCTCCAGGGCAGGGATGGAAGACGCATCACGGGGCCTTTACAAGGAACCTGGGCAGAGCCCGGGGCCATGGGCTGTAGGGCGGGATCCGCCCTGTGCACTCCTGGTGCCATCGCTCATGTCGAGGGAGCTGTGATTCCAGCCAGCCAGAGGGAGCCCTGCATCTCGCCCACCACACCCCAGTCTGCGCGGCACCGGGGGCTGTCGCTGGCCCCCTCCAGGCCGGAGAACACCCTCCTCCGATCGGCCCTCGAGTGGCACCAGGCTCGGGATTCGCTCTGCCAGTGAGGCCCAAGGGAGGGGAAGTGGGGCAGTGCCACCCTTTCGCCCCCTCGCTGCCCGGGTAGGGGCATTGGCTCCTACGAGACGGCAGGGCAAAGCCCTGCCAAGCCCCCGAGTGCCCTAGGGAGCCGGGCTCTGCGTGCCAGGGCTCTGCAGCCGGCTGCACCATCGCGGGCTTCCCAGGGAAAGAAAGTGAAACTCACCGTGAGCAGACAGCCCCCGAGCAGCAGGCAGAGCAGGCGGCAAGGTGGCATGGTGCAGCTGGGCCTTTGGCAAGCAGCTGGGAGGGAGGCGAGGCAGAGCTGCTATAAACTCCTCAGCCTCAACACCCGCCCAGGAAAGGGGCTGGGCAGCCCCCAGCAGCAAAACTCCTCCTCCCTCGGCATCCACCGCTGGGGCTCGCCTGGGCCAGGACTTCCCCAGGCAGCCTGTGGCCAGCGGGCCCCTGGCAGGGCAGCGTGTGCAAAGCAGCCAGGCTGGAAGGGCCCCCTCGCCGGAGCCGCGTCCCCAGGGGCACAGAGGGTGCCGGGAGCCATTAACCCGAACTGCAAACCCCATGTGTGATGGAAACCATGTCAAGCCAGGGGGTGCGCCGCCCCCCGCCACAGCACCTGTGCCCCCAGGCAGCTCTTGGCTCTGTGTCAGCCTGGCCACAGCAGCGAGTCAGCCTATGGCACTGGGCAGCTAGGAACTTCCAGCGCAGCCTGCAGGCAGCTCCCGGCCCCAGGGCAGACAGGGCCATCGCCCCACAAGGCCCTGGGGACAACAGCAGGGCCCATCAGTGCCGGGGGCCGCTAGGGGCTGGGGCACGCCGTGACTGGTGGGGAGCAGCGGAGGCCAGTGCATCGGAGACACAGGAACACTGGGGTCCCTTGGTGATCTGCCCCCGAAGACAGGGGGGGCAGGCCGTCTGGCCCACCCAGAGAATGTGCGGGGGTCGAGTGGGACGAGCGCCGGGCTGCCCCTTCTGCCCACCAGACTGAAGGGTCAAGCTGCCAGGATGACTATGAGTCACCAACATAATGTGGCCGTGACAAAGGCAAATGCGAGCCTAGGATGTCCCCGGTGAAGCAGCTCCAGGCGCTAGAGAAGAATAGTAATGCCATTGTCCAAGGCCTGGTGAGCCCACAGGTGGAATCCTGTGTGCAGGCTGGGCACCCGTGGTCAAGAAGGATTAATTTACACTGGAGCAGGGGCAGAGCCAGAGAAGAGTGACTAGGTGCTCAGGAGACTGGAGGGCTGATTTCATGAGAAGAGCCTGGCTTGGTTAGTCTAGCAAAAAGCAAGCTGAGCGAGCCTATGAGTGCACTCTGGAAACACATTGGGGATGAACCCCAGAGAGGGTGAAGAGCTATTGAAGCTAAAGAACAAGGCTGGTACAAGACTGAACAGCTAGAAACCAGCCAGGAACAAATTCCAGCTGGAATTTAGAAAGTTACGGACCATCAGAAGCTGAGGTTCTGGACCAGCCTCCCAGTAGGAGTTCTGGAGGCAAACAGTTTTACAAGCGAGCGGGACCAATGTATGGTGTCCCTAGCCTCTGTCTGCCAGAGCTGGCAATGAGCGACAGGGGATGGATCACTTGGTGATTCCCGGTTCTGTTCCTTCCCTCTGAAGCCTCTGGCACCGGCCACAGTCGGCAGACAGGGTACTGGGCTAGATGGGCCTTTGGTCAGTCCCCAGAGCGAGGGGCCAGCCAGGGGCAATGGGGCCTGGCATGGCAGACCCTGCTCCGCCCAATGCAAGGGTACTATTTACAAACCAACAGTTGCCAGACAGTGGCCTGCCTGGCCTTGTGCTGCCAACATGCCCCTTCCCCTCGGGTGGGCCCATGCCATACCACCCAACACACCCCGACTCCCTATGGCCAGAGGCCCCCCCGGACCCACTATGCCCCACACCGCCCCCCAGACCCACCCACAAATGCCCAGCACCCCCCACAGAACCCCCACTCCCTAGTGCCCCAACACACACAGATCCTCTGTGCCCCTTCACAGCCCAGCACCCCCCATAAATACTCCCCACAGACCCATTCCCCCAAGCTCTGCCTCCCGACCGCATTCACTGGCCCTGCTGGGAGGTGACTTTGTCTGCCGGGCTGAGCCAGCAGCGCAGCCAGGGCTGGTCCCAGGGCTGGCAATTGCTCTGGCCCCTCGGGAGTGGTGCGATCAGCCAGGCCAGGACCTGCCCTAGCTGGGGTCCCTCAAGACGCACTTGCCTGGAGGGGCCCAGCCAAGCCCCTCACACTGTTCCCCCCGCACACACACATGGCTGAGACTGGCCAGGCTTCTCCACCAGTCCCAGGTGGCTCAGCTCCGGGGAGACAGGTGGGGCCCCACAGATAGTGGGAAGCAGAGACTGCCCAGAGCCGGAGGTGCACTGGGGTCCAGCCAGGGGGCTGAGAGAAGCAGGGGGTGGGGACAGGGGGTGGAGAGGAGCCCTCAGCCAGCTGGCGGGCAGTTGGATTAGTTGGGTTCCCTGGACTGTCTCTCTAGGGTCTCCGGGGCCCTTTGGATCATTTCTCTCCAGTCACAGGGATTTGTGACTCCCTCCAGGTTCCTGTCAGCTGTGTCAGTCACCTGCAGGTCCTGCCCCCCTCTCCAGGCCAGCGGAAGTCTGTATCTATGCCTGAGCAATTCTGGGGAATCCAGCCCCTGCCAGCAGGCTGGGATCCTGGGGCCCACACGCAGGAGGGGGTGTTTGTGCTTTTCCTGCTAACAGCCTGGAAGCAGAAGCTCGAGGTTTCAGTTCAGTCTCTTGAGGTGGGTTTCAGTAATTCCCATCTGGGATTAAGCTGTGAAGATGAAATGGAGACCCCCATGAGGACACAATATCTGCCCAGAGGGGCCCGCCAACAAGGGGGATAGTGTCTCCCCAGAGGACCCACCCTCCCCGAAGAGGGCAGTATCTGCTTTCAAGGGCCATGAACACAGAAAGAGGGGAGGACAGAGAATCCAGCAGCTCCTGGTGAGTGTGGGAGGCTCCCACACTGCCTCCCTGCTTGGAGAAATTCCCAGGGGATGTGGCGAGGGCCCTGTGGGTTCCAGACTCTTCTGCTTTCTGTAGAGGAGAATGTCCCAGGGACTTCCTGTTGGTTTGTGCATTTCCCACTGCACATTCATTGTAGAGAGGAAACCCTGGCTGGGGACAAGGGAGAAGCTCTGGCAAAGGTTTATGCCTCAATGCCCACGTAAGAATCCCCAGGACACCGGATCACAGGCCCAGGTTACAGGGAGCTGTCTGGCCTGCAGCTGCCCCAGTGCAGCGTGCCCCTCCCCTCCCCCACAGCTGCCCCAGTGCAGCGTGCCCCACCCCTCCCCTCCCCCACAGCTACCCCAGTGCAGCGTGCCCCGCCCCTCCCCCCGCAGCTGCGCCAGTGCAGAGTGCCCCGCCCCTCCCCCGCAGCTGCACCAGTGCAGAGTGCCCCGCCCCTCCCCCTGCAGCTGCACCAGTGCAGCGTGCCCCTCCCCTCCCCTCGCAGCTGCGCCAGTGCAGCGTGCCCCTCCCCTCCCCTCGCAGCTGCGCCAGTGCAGAGTGCCCCGCCCCTCCCCCGCAGCTGCGCCAGTGCAGCGTGCCCCGCCCCTCCCCTCCCCCCGCAGCTGCGCCAGTGCAGCGTGCCCCTCCCCTTCCTTCCCCCCGCAGCTGCGCCAGTGCAGAGTGCCCCGCCCCTCCCCCCGCAGCTGCGCCAGTGCAGCGTGCCCCGCCCCTCCCCTCCCCCTGCAGCTGCGCCAGTGCAGTACCCCTCCCCTCCCCCGCAGCTGCGCCAGTGCAGCGTGCCCCCCCCCTCCCCTCCCCTCCCCCCGCAGCTGCACCAGTGCAGAGTGCCCCGCCCCCTCCCCCGCAGCTGCCAGTGAGCGTGCCCGCCTCCCTCCCCCGCAGCTGCCTCAGTGCAGCGTGCCCCTCCCCTCCCGCATGCCCAGAGCTGCCCCGGTGCAGCGTGCCCCCCTGCTCCCGTGTGCCCTGTGCTGAGGACCGGTCCCAGGGCTCACAGGTGACGGGAGTGGCGCTGGGAGTGCATTCAGCATGGCGCTCGCGGGGCTCCACGGAGGCATAAAGCCAGAACCTTCCACCACCCCACCCAGCTGCGGCTCCTCTACTGTTCTCATTTGTAGGGCTGCCACGGAGAGGAAGTCGAATCGTTCTGGCTGTTGTGGGCGGCGGCTGGGAGCCATGTGACTGGACACCCACCCCACCCTCTGCCGTCATTTCCCACAAGTGACTCTTGCTCACCAAATATAAACTGCCCCAGGGGAGATCTCCTGAGAGACATCATGCAAATGGCCATGTCGGGAGGAAGGGGGTTTCTGGACTCAGTGCCCTGGCCTTGGAAATCCCCTCTGGCAGCCCCCTGCTCTGGAGGAAATGTGGGGGCCTCGGGTTAAGTGACTGCTCTGTGTAGCTCAGGGAGCTGAGACCCCTCACACCAGGGGTCTGTGGAGGGCTCTTGTCCTTCAGTGCCTGTAACTTCCCAGCACACACCTCTCCCAGCCTCTGAATCCCAGACACCAGTTCCCATCAAGGCAGTAATTACCTTTAGAACTTAGAGCCTATTCCAATGAACTCAGGCCCTGGATCAGGGCCCTCCTGGAGCTGGCAGCAGGAGCTTCTTGGCCAGGCCACTTTGAGCCAAAGCAGCGGAGACGCTCTCGAACTCGGGCAAAGCTCTGTTTATGTTGAGTCATCGTCTCCTCTCTCGTTCCTGGGAACGCCTCTGCTGGGGGAGGGCTGGGGCTGCCTGGCGGTGGCGTGAGGGGAAGGTGCCCAGTCAGGGGCACGGCATCAGGGAAGGTTCATAACCTGCTCCAGTGTTTACTCATTTACCCATGTGACAAAGCTGCCTTGGCTCCTTCGCTGTGTGGTTAGCTGACATCACCGCCACCAACGCATGGGCTGGTGTAGGTGTAAGCAGGGGAATGGTCCCGCTATGGTGGGGAACTTTCCTGGTGTATGCACTACCCCGGTGAAATGGGCTAGCGAACGGATCTGAGTCCTCGCTCCCAATCCCTTCACCCGCAGGCCGGCCTGCCCTCGAGGACTCCCCTTCCTCCCTCCTCGTAACCCCGACACGGCTGGGCCCAGGGTTCCTGGGGGGCTGGGCCCGCAGTCTTGTTGTGGTCACGTAGGGCAGGGGCCTGGGTGTCCCCGCTCTGGTGCTCTCTCCGCACTGGACGCTTCCCTGACCCACTGATTATTACCTATAGTTCCAAGCAAATATGATTTATTAAACAGCAACCAATTTAAAAAAAATAAGGAAAAAACAGGAACGGCTAAAGGAAAACCCGTCACCCCACTCTGTGGCCCAGGGACCGCACAAGCAGCAGTCTCTGGAGGACAAGGGAAGTTCAGTCTGTCCCTCACATGTCCCAGGCCTCTCTCTCAGGCCCTGGCTGTGCTGCAGGGATGCTGCGGGTCGGACACTTGCTCTGGCAGTGGCCACACACCCTCAGGCTTTCGGTGGCCGGACCCTTCTTTGCAGCGTCAGGTCCCCCCGCCCCCCAGTTGGGGTTACAATCCCCCTCCAAGTCTGGCCTGCAAGGCCTCTTGGTTGGGGGTGTCTCCCTGCGCTGGGCCCGCTGCCTGTGATTCCACCCTCGCTCTCCCCAGCTGCTCACCACACCCAGCTCCGGACTGCTCCAGCCCCAGCTCCGTCACTCGGTCTCTGCATGGCTGCTGCTGCTACTCTGCCTCCAGCTCCCTGGGCTGCTTCTCTGGCCCCTCTGGCTCTGGTTGCAGCAGCTCTGCTCCCAGCACAGGTCTGCTCTCTGGGCTGCTTCTATGGCTCTGCTCCCAGCGCTGACCTGCTCCCTGGGCTGCTTCTCTGGCCGGTGTGACCCTGCTCCCCAGCTCAGCTCAGGTTCCTGCTCCCTTAGCTCAGCCCCACTCTGTTCCAGGCCATTCCAGCTCACACGGAGGAGGAGGACAGGACCCCCCGGCCTCCTGACTCCCTCATCAGCCTGCCCACCCCATCAGGCTGACCTGGAGCATTGGCCTCTCCCCATTGGCCCTGGCGACTCTCTGTCTCAGGGTCCTGATTTCCCATTGACCCTTCCCCTTTCTCTTGGTACTGGGAGCTAGCCAACCAAAACAAACAAAAAAAAACCCACTGAGTTTTAGTAAGCGGCCAAGAGTCCCCTTACGTAGGGTTACCGACCGTCCCACACAGATTCCATAAAGGAGGCTCATGTGTCTCTAACTAGTTCACACAACATTATCATGACTCTCATGAGAGCTGGTCTTTTCCTAAAAGCCCCAGCTCCTGGAGTCAGGTGATGGTGGCAGAATCTCTGCTTCCATTTACAATAAAGGAACTTATCCTGACCATCCTGTTCACTTAGTAAAGCTTGAAAATAGGCCCCTGAAAGGCTTTCGCACCAGGTACCACAGAAAAAGGACCCAGCAAGTATTAGTAACAAGCTAGTTTCATGACTGTTTGGAGCCTGGCTCATGATGCTCAAACCCTTGGGAGTGGTGATGTTGCCAAATGCAGACTGAGGTCCTGACTCTGGGCAGATTTGGGAGTAAGGGGGGCTTTCAGCTGCAGCTGCACATTTTGGATTGCTGTAGGGCTGGCGTAGCACTAGGAGCATGTTAGAGTAGCCCTGTGGACAATGTTAGCCTATGAGACCCTCCCACCTCCCCCTCTTGCCTCAGCACACCCCTGTGTGCGTCTGCGCTAGGCGGTTCCTACCCCAGAGCAGCGTGAAGGGCCCGCAGCAGGGGCCAAGATTCCCAGTTAACCAGGCTAGGCAAGTCCCCGGCTGCCCATGCTGGTTCCCGCTCTGAAGATTTAGGGTCTTGTGGCACCATCTAGTGGCCACTGGAAGTTTCAGCTGCTCCGTGACTATCTCACAAAC